TATATTTACCACAGGTACAGCCAGCTCTGGGCATCGTTATGCACATAACGCAACAGACCCCGCAAATAAAACGCGTGACGTTTAAAGCATGCGTGCAGCGCGTGCATAACGGTCCTGAGCACAAGCTGTACCGGTGGTCAATAAGAATAAAGCGCAGATATGCTGTTCTAAATGGACGTCAGGAACGGGATATTGTTAGACCGCCCGCTCCCGTTCAAATTACACCAGAGTTACCGACCGCTACCGCATTTTATTCGGGAATTTAATCCCGCGGCGCAAAAAGTCGGGTTGTGTCTCGTGGTTCCCATGGGAGAGCCGTGGGAATGCAGACCTCTACATTAATGGATTCCAACACAGAAACATCCTGCCAGGTTGGGTTGAGTTGGCCATGTTTTCGATCTTCAACCAGGACACGTCTTATGGCTGGGAGTTGCTCCAGCACCCTCTCTATCATTTTTTGCTTGGTGCCCCATCGTGTGGCAACATCCTGTGGAAAAGATAACATTGTTTTTTTTTTTTCATTAGTTTGTCTATTCTAACATTATTCAACAAATACTACTTTTAAATTTCCTTTATTTAATCAAATAATTTTACATGGTTATTATAATGTAACCAATTATTTAATCCATACATACAAACAGGCCCCAAAGTAAGTCATAAATAAATAAAAAAAACTTTAAATTAAGTTTATATTAACCATTTAAATATTTTGTGTTGTATAACAAGTTATCATCACTCACCAGTACTAGATTGTGTTGGGGGACATTAGTTTCAGTCTGTGCCTTCCTTAGCCAGCTTGGGTTGAAGGTGTTGACAAGATTCCTACAAAGTCCCATGGCACGCGCTGTGCGATCCTTGTCACTGTCCAGTCCATGGGAAACAGCCAAATGGAGGTTGTGTCCAAAGCAATTGAGCCATGGCCAGCCAAGGTTACGTAATGCAGCCACAATGTTAGCACCATTGTCTGTAGTTATACAGGCTATTTTGCGCTCATCCAATTCCCAGTCTGCTAAAGCAGACTTAAGGGCTTCAGCAAGTACATCCGCAGTGTGGTTCTGTGGTATCTGGTCTCTAAACACTTTGATTGCAGAGTCCAGTCAGCAGTTATGTAGTGTATGATCAAGCTCATATATGGGGTCATATTTGAGCTTGACCACATATCTGTAGTGGCAGAGTAAAAGGAGATGTCTTTTATCTCCTTCAGAATGTCGTCTTTTACTTTGTTGTACACGGATGGAATGGCAGTTTGGGAGATGTACGTTTTCTTTGGCAATTCGTACACTGTTTGTCAAAAGTTTGCAGCATATTTTTAAATGCTGGTTTTTCGACCGTGTTTAATGGCTGCATCTCTTTGGCTATATAGCGAGTTAAGCTATCCGTGAGTGTGCGCCATTTCGCGCTGTCACGTTTATATTTACACTGTCGGGAAAAGGCGTCTGTAACAGATAATTGTTTGGAAGACCCCTCTCCAGCTCCAGCTTGTTGTTCCCAGGTTGAAAAACTGTGTGGGATGGTTATGTTTTAGGTGAGATTTTAGGTTAGTTGTGTTGCCTCTTTTCGTTGCCACTGTTTTTAAACAAAGTCGACATACCGGCTCGTTCACGTTAATTGGCTCTCCTCTCTCATTCAGCTTAAAGCCAAAATGTTCCCACACCGGAACTGAAGATTGCGGCTTTGAAACCAAGTCCATCGGGGCTAGTTCTTCCTAACTGGCTGTAGTTGTCACGAAACTCTTTATAACACAGTGGGTTCACGCCTTCTCTTCACCTGTCGCTGTCCGCTCTGTGTGTGTGTGTGTGTGTGTGTGTGGAGACGCAGCCTGAGCCCCGCCTCCGCCACAGAGAGCAGACGAGATGACAGAAGCAGCGCGATCAACTAAAATGTTGGTGACATTCATTTTTATGTAAAAATTAATATAATCATTATTTTTAATTATAAAAAAGGATCAGTCGCAATATATCGCGGCACCAAAAATTATCGCGCGATAAGTCGATATATTGACTATCGCAACAGGCCTAACTTTTGGTGTTATGTGTTCAAATGCCAGCCTTTGTGTTCAGGTTTGACTGAGTAAAATTAATACAAAAACTGACATTTCAAACCAATATTTCAAACAAAAAAAAATCTAAACCTTTACAAAAAGTTGTCTTTGAGAATGTCTAAATATAAATCAAAATCCACAACTTAATAAAAATAAGTATTTGTCTAAAAACAACTAGAGAATTTATAAGCCTTTTATATAGAGCTCTATGGGAGTCTAGTGGCTAAACCACGGAATGTCAGATGTTTGTCTTTTTTTACTCCCACCAGATGGAACTAATCTGCCTTCAAAAATTGGATTTTAAAGGCATTGGGCCTCATTCATGAAACACGAGCAGAATGATTTTTTTGTGTAAATCATTCGGAAAGTCGTTCTGGCGTAAATTTTCGGATTCATGAAAATGTTCGTATTTTGAAAATGTTAGTTGGTACAAAAGAAATTTACACCTGCTCCCTACCACGTGTAAATGGTGCATAAAACATTCAAACGTTCTGTATTCTTTTAGACAAACTGATGACACTGAATTTTTTATGAACTATGTATTAGAATGATTTTTAACGAGTTCATTTGCCCTGTCTTTTTTTTTTTCGTTTTTTACTCTAACTTTGGGTAAAATGCAGAGCTCGTCACTGTCCCTTTTTACACAGCCGTCCAATCACAGTGGAGGAGGGGCGGGACAAACATTACATTGATCAACCATGATCATACTTGTACAACACAACAATGGAGAAGTTAATATTGCTGGTTACTGCATTTTTATATTCAGTAATATTCTTCAAAATAAGATACTCGTAACGTTACTGCCGTGAATATTCCAAATCAAAGCAAACCATGCATCACTCCAGAAAAATGCAGTGCCTCCAAAGCTCTCTCAAGCACCACCAGCTGGTCGTTCTCAGAAGAGCAACAGGCTAATGTCAGCTGGCTAAAAACGCTCTGGTGGACACACGTTAATTTATTCATTTATTGTTAGGCATATAGCCTATTAGTCTCTTATGCATTTATGCTATATAACTTACCAAACCTGAGAACTGAGTCCAAGGATTCCACACCATTCCTAGATACGTAATTTGCGTAGCTGCAATTCATAGGCGGGGAATATGCTAATTGTGAATGAGCGTGCATGCGCGCCCTATTTACGAATGATTGGAATTCATTAACATAAACACATTTAACTATCAAATCTGACCTTTATGAAGTATTTGTGAATCCGGAGGAGAGTTTTTGGGAAGGTACGTTTTATGCGTAAATTACTCAGAATTTACTCATATTTACGAGTGTTTCATGAATGAGGCCCATTGTCTCTATTTTAACATGAAATACTGCTATAAGTGAAAAGTAATTAGAAAAATATTAGAACAATTTTTGTATTATTTTCAATGGGGAAAATTTATCATAATTATTGCATAAATATTAAATACCATGAAATTCTCTAAAAATACAAAATAAAAATGAAAACATATTATCGAACAAAAATATATTACATTGATTTCACTGAAATTAAAAAATAAGTTTAATTACAGGTGTCCGGTTACTTTTGACCATGAACAACACAAGTGTGACTCCCAAATGAACAATACTAGAGGTTTAAAGTCAGTTCATTGTTGATTCAGTGATGTCATCGTCCAGCTCAGTTCAGCTTGCTTCCAATAGTGTCTGTGCAATCAAGTCGACAATGTTCCCAGAAATTCTGTCCCCAACTAAGCAAGCCAGAGGCGACAGCGGCAAGGAACCAAAACTCCATCGGTGACAGAATGGAGAAAAAAACCTTGGGAGAAACCAGGCTCAGTCGGGGGGCCAGTTCTCCTCTGACCAGACAAAACCAGCATGGCGTGGTTTAATTACAGGCTGCAATGCATGTCAGTTTGAGCAGTGAACTCATCTGGTTCTTGTGGTCTTGTCCCGGTGGCCGTCTAGGAGACAAGGTCTTTACAGGGGATCTGTATCTGGGGCTCATCTAGTTGTCCTGGTCTCCACTGTTTTTCAGGGCTGTAGAGGTCCTCTCTAGGTGCTGATCCACCATCTGGTCTGAATATGTACTGGATCCGGGTGACTGCAGTGACCATCTGATCTGGATACAGACTGGATCTGGTGGCTACGGTGACCTCGGAATAAGAGAGAAACAGACTAATATTAGCGTAGATGCCATTCTTCTAGCGATGTAGCAAGTACATCGGGTGTTATGGGAAGTGTTCCCGGTTCCGGTTGTCCTAATTAATGCAGCCTAAAAATCCTTTAACGGATTTGAATATTAGAAGCGTATTAGTGTGTTATGTGTAAGCCAGGTTAAAGAGATGGGTCTTTAATCTAGATTTAAACTGCAAGAGTGTGTCTGCCTCCCGAACAATGTTAGGAAGGTTATTCCAGAGTTTGGGCGCTAAATAGGAAAAGGATCTGCCGCCCGCAGTTGATTTTGATATTCTAGGTATTATCAAATGGCCAGAGTTTTGAGAACGCAGCGGACGTGGAGGACTATAATGTAACAAGAGCTCGTTCAAATACTGAGGTGCTAAACCATTCAGGGCTTTATAATAACAAGATTGTAAAATGTACACAATGTTTAATCGGGAGCCAGTGCAGTGCTGACATATTTTATAATGGTTATTCATAAATATAATATGTGTGGCTCTGTGATTAACAAGTAAAATTAAAAATGGCCTTTTGACAAAAGTATTCTTTGAATGTAGCCAGTATTTCATGTCATATTTATGCATTTTGTCCATTTTCCTCAGAATGAAAAGGCTAATTTTATGTCTAAGCAACAAAAAATCTTTTTAGTTGGTTTAGTTGTTTTTTCAATATATATGTGTATAATTAATATGAACCTGTATCAACATGTGAATTCTTTATGCTTCAGTCATTGTCTATATGTTAGTGCATTGATATAGAAAGAGAAGCATTCAAGCAAAGTACATGAGGCCCTTTTTGTGGACAAAAGTCTCTGTGTATTTCCTGACAGCATTGGATAGCCAATAACCTGTTTGGTCTGGCTTTTGCCCTGAATGGAGTTGAGCTGCTCCACCTCAATAACGTCAGCACTGGATGTATCCTGCTGGGAGGTCTGTTCGTTTACGATGTGTTCTGGGTAAGTTAGGGGAATGTTAGTACATTCAAATTCATTATTGTAAAGCCTGCTTAATATAGGGCCCACCTACAAGATTTGGCACCGGCCCTGGTACATACATGTCTCTGCAAAAAAACATGTACTCTGTTTGTTTTCTAGGTTTTTGGCACCAATGTTATGGTGACAGTTGCCAAGTCCTTCGAAGCCCCAATTAAGTGTGAGTATCTGATTTATCCATCCATCCTTCTCTCCATTAATCTCCAGAACAGAAGGTTGTTGGTGGTTGGTGGTTGGTGGTGGATGAGGAGATACCCCCTGACAATGTAAAGCGCTTTGAGTGCCTAGAAAAGCGCTATATAAATGTAATGAATTATATTATTATTATCTGAAGACTGGCCGTTTGGATACTTTCCCTGGATTTCATTAAGGAAGTATCAAATTAAAATAGTCACTTAGCAAATCATCTATAAAAACTGATCATGAAAACAATCGACAGTCAAACAAAAGACACAAAGTTGAGCTGTTGTGGGAAAAATATGACAAATTAAGAACATTAAATTGTTTGAGTGAACTTATCCCTTTTAATATAAAACAATTAAAATTGTAATTTTGCTCATGTCATCCATGTAATGAAAATGAATGGACATCAGTACTGTTTGGTTACCAACATTCTTCAAAATACTTCTGTGCAACACAAAATAAGTCATACAGCTTTGGGACAACATGAAGGGAGTAAATGATCACAGAACTTTCATTTTTTGGAACTATTGAACATAATCTCTTAAGCGCTTCAAACAAACTCATATACCATTTACCATATACTAATATTTCCATCTTGCTTGAATCATCCTCAACGCAAGCGAGTGTTAAACTTCGCAGACTGCACTGGACAGGCATGAGCACATCATGTATAACAAAATATAGAATGCAGTTACATTTTCCTTGTTTTTGTTTGCATAGTGGTTACACATTTAAAGAAAGTTCTTTTAAATAAAAAAATAAAAAAACATTTTAATTTATTTTTTTAATGCATGCAATATAATACAACGTACTTATATGTAGTATAACATTTCATTAGCAATTTATTTTTATTTTTATCCAGTCGTACTGGAAGTTTACTTAGTAAAAAGGCGTAGGAACCCTGATATTCACCTCTTCTGCTGGAAATGACTACTCTTCATCTTCATTCTCTTCAGTGAATTCTCACTCTTATATTTCACTATTTCCCACTCCTTTTTTGCTTCTAGTGGTTTTCCCTCAAGATTTGCTGGAGAAAGGTTTGGATGCCAGTAACTTTGCCATGTTGGGACTGGGGGACATTGTCATTCCGGGTAAATATATATGACATGTTTAAGACAGCTATTTATTGCACAATATAACCTGTAAACATTGAGCCATGAACATTGTTTATTATTTAAAGGAAAAGCTTATTACTGAATGCACTCTTTCCTGCTCTGTCAGGGATCTTCATTGCTCTGCTCCTGCGCTTTGATGTCAGGTAAAGTCCTTTTGTTTAGTTTTTTTGGTTTTGTCTGACTTCAGCTGCTTGTAGTTTTGATTTACAGCTGTTGTCGTTTTCTCGTCTTTCACTCTTAGTTTGAAGAAGAACACAAGAACTTACTTCTACACCAGTTTCCTGGCTTACATCTTTGGCCTGGGTCTTACCATATTCGTTATGCACACCTTTAAACATGCTCAGGTAAAAACATAACAAACACACTATTGCTGTCCTTCATTAAAGAAATCAAGCCAAGATGGCACTGAATGAGGCTGTGTTTTGTTTCCCAGCCTGCTCTGCTGTACCTGGTCCCTGCTTGTATTGGATTTCCAGTGCTGCTGGCCCTGTTTAAAGGAGAACTGACTGAGATGTTCAGGTAACTGCACTCCTGACAATGACCATGTTCAGAGCTTATGTCCAGGGTCAGGATGCTTAGGGGACATTAGCTTGGAATGTAGTTTTAATGAACATAGCACACTTCTGCTCTCACGTTCATGCATGCATGTCATTGTGTCTTTCTTGCACCCAAAACCAATGGTGTAGCACCTGTCATGATGGGCTGCCTCATTTCTACTGTTACTCTTTACGTTCAGTCTGCTTGATCCATTGTGTGAGAAGTGTAAGTAATACTCGTGACTGTATTTTAAAAGAGCACAAAGAACTTTTTAATTTCTTCCGGAAAGAAATGGCACTGGACAAAGATAACATTTCTAGTGTGCATGTGTGTTTGACTGGAAGCATACACTAAGTGTTCGCATTGGTTCACAAGAGTTTGGACTTTAATTTTAAAACTCTTTCATTGGCATAAAGCTGCTCAAAGTAAAGCCGGCAATACACTACACTAGGGCTGGGCGATTTTCCCGATTTTATCGATTAATTCAAATTTATTGTTTTCTAAAAAATAAAATCGTGGCAAATCGACGCGATTTTGAATAGAAATCTTACCAAATGTTAGAATAAGACACTTTGACAATATGCCGGTGATAACCGTAAAGAGAAAAGAACGATCCAACCGCATGTCGGCGCACGGGATTAACCGCTCACGTGTGACGTGCTCTGTGAAGGACCATAAATTTAGCGCTAGGCATCATTCACACAGCGCTTTTGTGTTGACAAAGATGCGACGCGGGCAGTGGAATTGGTAAAACTTGCAAGAAGATGGGAGTGAACTTTTTAACTTGAGCGCAGTGTTTTTAGAATGGCGTTTCATGCATGAGACGCTGCAAGAGATGCGAGCGCAGCAGTCAAACACATCCATGTTTACACAGAAAAAAATGATGGAAAAGCAGCGCGATCGAATAAAAAAAACCTGTAAAGAACTACTACTGTATGTCTGATATTTCATGTTTGCATCATGGTGACAGGCTGAAAGCTGCTGTTGTTTTTAAAGAACATTTATAGTTAATAATAGTCTACTGGTGTTATACCTTCTGTCATTTTGAATTTGAATTACCTTGACTTTTGAGATTTTCTAAAATTTTCCTCGTATTATTTCTGAACACATAATATTTTTAAGCCTGTGACACACTCTCCTATGTGGAAAAAGTGTTTCAGACTTGCATAGTAGTCGAGTTTGGATAAACATGATTCAAAGTTGAACAAACAATTGAAATCCAAATATATTTATTGAATTTATGTGAATTTATTTAAACTGATTATTGTGAATATAGTGTATAACATCATTGGTTAAAATGATCATAATGATCATAAAACTTTTAAAAATGAATGATGAAGATAATCAAAAATGAATTTCATTATTATGACTTGGATCTGTGCTCTGCCCAGAGAGCCTTTCAGTGAAATCACTTTACAGGGATAATGTATATCCAGCCTAGGGCTGGGCGATATAGCTGAAAAATGTATCAACGATATGTTTCATATTGTTCGGTATCGATAATTATTGACATTTTTATAACCTTTTTTAAAACAAAGAGCAATAGAAAATATTTTTTTTAATTTAACCACTGTATTTTTAAATTAACCCAATTTATTGAGACAAACAACACATTGTTTTGTTTTAACAGTCAAACACACAATAAAAATTAAACAAATATCTCATTTCTAATGTTTTATATGTAGATTAAATGGGTTTTAAGGAAACTTTTGTCTTGTCTCCCGAGGCCACAGGAGGGCGCAATGAGCAAAATAATGCAGCACATAATGTCAACGCATGGAAGTAACTGTCTATTAAAAAAAACGTGCATTACGTCTAAATTAACTCCTATAATTCAAATATAATTTCGTAAATTGCATAAACAATTATGAACAAAACAGCATCATGTATTTATGTATTGCTTAATACAAAGAACCGAAGCGCCGATCACACAAACTGCATTTAAAAACATAAGAGACGCAGTGAAAAGGAATAAACCTCTACAAAGTGTTTTCTAAACGTTTAAACTGTTTTAACTTTGCATGGCTACATCTCTTGTGTGAGACGCGAGTGCAGCAGTCATATTTGTCCGCCTAAAAAATGCGTTGAATATGCGTTCTGTGTGAATGACTTGGTTTGGGTTTTAACCCATTCAAGATCTTCTCCGCATTGAGCTTCTATATTTCTCTAATATTTTGAAAGAATAACGCAGCAGCGGCGCGTCTCGTGGGCTAGACTAACAAAACATTAAACTACAACGTCACTTACATCATTATCACCACATCTTGTGCGCCACTGATGACACTCCCTGATGCACACCTAACATTCAAATGCAAATGTTTATTTTAAATTCGACTAATATTCATTTTTTTATTCACAATCTCCTCATCACAGGCAGGCACAGCACTCATTTCAGCATGTGTTCATGTTTGTGTGTGCTGTCTGCGTCACTCATAGCACGTGCCTATATCGTGCGCTATATCAAACATTTTTATATCGTTATTGAAGAAAGTGTACCGTGGATAAATATCGATACCGTTTTATCGCCAAGGCCTAATCCAGCCGCTTGTTATCGCTGCATAAACTCCGACTGGGAGATCAGGGTGAACAACTGGAAGCTTAGTCTCTCTGAATTTATACTTTGCATAAAATACAGAAATTCATAATTTGAACAAAAACAACTTTCTAACAAGTTCTAAGTGCTTATAATAATTCTACAAATTCTAACATTTTAGTACTCAAATTCTCTGTTTATGATAACATGAAAATGCATTTATATATTGCACATTTATTTCACATGATTCCTAGAGTAGGACATTTACATTTAGACTTTGTTGTTCTGTATTTATTAATACTGAAAACCACACATTCAGCAAGAATATTAATAAATACAGGGAATTAAAATAGATCATCTCATTTCTTTCATCAAATAATTATTTAACATAACACAAAATGTTATTTTAGTAACACGTTAGTTTATGACAACATTCATTTGTTAATGGCTTATTATATGATGCTATTACGTCATTCCCTTTGCATCCTCACTGTTGGTTAAATCAGTGGTTGAGACGGCCATTGGTCTATACATCACTGTAGCTCTTATTCCACAACACTTACTTTACTGAAAGTTGCTTTCAGTTTCTTTATAAAAAGCTTTTATTCTTAGACAAGTTTTACTTCTTAGAAAGAAAAGTCTTACGCTGTGACTTATGAATCACATTTCTTTCTGATAAGTTTTATGCATATGGCCCCAGATGTCCAGCAGATTCACTTACAGCGTGCTTTGTGAAAGCCAACCCTTCTCCAGGAGCTAGTTGGTGTTAGGTAAAGGAGAGGTAGGCTATTAGTTATTGTCAGTGACTTCACAGGCAGCGTTTGTGTTGGAAGGGACCTCCTGTAACTGATTTTGGATTTGTCGATAACAATAGATGATATTTTGCTGGGTGTGGTATTTGTGCTGCTACCTTGGCTTTAGGCTTTTCATGGATGGCTGACACCTGAAGAGTTTTTATATTCTTCCTATTTTTTGCACTGGTTACTTCACAGCAGTGATTTCCAGACCTTTGTCCTTTAGGCCCCCTCCTTACATATGTGACCCTGGACCACAAAACCAGTCTTAAGTGTAAATTTTTTGAAACAATAGGACAATATTTGGTCTAGATACAACTATTTGAAAATCTGGAATTTGAGGGTGCAAAAAAATCTATAAATATCTAAATATTGAGAAAATCGTCTTTAAAGTTGTCCAAATGAAGTTCTTAGCAATCCAATCTTGGTTTTGATCTTGATCAAATCGTCAGTTTGTGGTGTTCAAAACGTTTTAGTGAGATTGGGATACCTTTGATCCAAAAAAAAATCAGGATCATATGGATAACATGTTACTTTTGTAACATGTAATATATCCCCAAACAGCTGTCAATATAATAAATAAAAATACTATATATAAACTGTTTTTATTAAATCACCGTTTGTAAACTACATGGGCACAATCATCAGAGATGAACCAGTAAGAAGTAGTTATTTGTGTAAATGCAATGCAAAACGTTTCTGAGAGGATGCAAAAGCATTGACATATTTTGTTTTCCATCTCATATGTTTTTTTTTCCATCACCATGTCCCTTTAGGGGCTCTGTAGAGCACTAGTAATCCAGATTTGGTCATCTGAAAAAGTGTGTATCTGGATCATTGTGATCCAATCCAATTTTGCTTTGAAAAACCAGCAGAAAAGTTAGATGGATTACCTGATCCTGGATAGCAAAACATGGGATTTCCAAATCCAGATCATTCTGATCCAGATTAAACTTTTTGAACATCTGGCCCTCGGAGTATTCATAAAAACTTAAGTTTTGTTTTTTCATCCATAATAGTTCATATAAGAAAGTATAAGACCCCTGATTGGGAGCACTGCTTGTTAGCTTACATCGTGTCTACACCGGACGCGAGCGGCGCGGCGCGGCGCAATAAAATACAAGAACTGGTTATAATCAGTGATGCTGTCTTGGATGCAACATGACACGACAAATCCCCGACAGTAAACTGCTGACTCGTTTTATTTATAACGTACTGACTAGTGTTGTCAAAAGACCCGGTACTTCGGTACCAAGTCGGTACTAAAAAAATGAAAATGTTACGGTACCAGGATTTTTTAAGTACCGGTGGTACCAGTGGCGTAACTTAGTAATGACGGGCCCCAGTGCAGGCTATTATGACGGGCCCCCTGGTGCACGGTTATGAAGCACATACAAACACACAGCGCTCGTGTCTAGAAGGGAACCCATATATGCAAATTTGTGCCTAACCTAGTTAATTTAGACCAACTAAAATCAGTATCTTATCAGTTTCTTATAATAAATTGAACATCGAAACTCAAATTGAAACTCTTTCCGTGCGTCTCACTCTAACACACACGGCTGTGCGTGCGGAAGGAAACGACTGTCTTCAGAAAATTATGGATGTCATTTTCATTTAATCTTGCCTGTTAATGCCTGAGCAGCGTTTGTGAGCTGAGCGCTTATTTGTTTACAGCCGTTACCGGGGAAACCTGATCTCTCGCGCTCTTCAAGCTGACTTTGCATATATATGACGCCACAAATAAAGTGCAAGTCTGAGGGAAACGCCGCTTCTGTTATGAATATTATTCAATATTTTAATATGAATGTCGGATTTAAATGAACATCGCTGTTATTAGAGTAGTTAATCGTTAGCATAAGCGCGGCTAACGCTAGTATAATGAGCATTAGTATGAAGTTTCTTTATTAACTATTTAATGCTCCTATAACTTTTATTAGGGTAAAAAAAACAGGAGGACATGATGATATTTACTATTTTTACACACCAGAGGCTTTTAAATGAATTGTGAATCTAAAATATGCGTGTTAGAGAATGTACAAATGGTTAACATTGTTTGTGTCATAACAGTCAGAAAAGCAGTTCTGGGCTTTTTTTTTTTTTTTCTTAGCTAACTTAGCTGTTATTCTTGTTATTCTTGGCTGTATAACTGTAGAAGGTTTTCAAAAGCCCTTTCAAATTAAACAAGTACACAGTTTGGATTAAATGAAAGTATAGTCAAATTTTTTAATTAGCATGTTTTTGTGTTTTGCTTTGGTACCGAAATTGGTACCGAG